TGTAGCATAAAATGTGATCTATCTAAGAAAAAATTTCCATGGGATGCTGAAAATAATATATATTCCACAGCTATTGGATGGAATACTCTGTAGATGCCTATTAAATCCACTTGATTTATTGTGCAGTTTAACTCTAAAGTTTGGGTGTTTTTTCTTCATGTTCTATTAATAAGAATGTGGTATTGAACTCACCTGCCATTATTGTGTACGTATTATCTGCTCCTTTATGTCCAGTAGTGTTTGTTTTATGAAATTCAGTTCAATGGATATTTGTGTTTGCTGTATCTTCTTCCTGCTTTGTTCCCATTATCAATATGGTGTGGCCTTTGTTCTTCTGGTTAATTTCTGGTTGAAGTCTGCATCTGGCTTCCACCTGCTTGGGGTATTGACTTCCCAGCTTCCACTTTCAGTTAGCATCTTTTCCAGTGAGGTGTGTTCCATTTACACTACAAATAGTTGGGACTTGTTTTCAATCCAGTTAGCTAGCATGTGCCTCTTACTTGGAGCATTAAGGTCACATGCATGCATTTAGGGTTATTGAAAGGAAGGGCTGCCCATTTCAGGAATTTTGTTTTCTGGATTGATTCTAGAAATATGTGTCCTTTTCTGCCTTTCTGGATTGTATTAGGGTTGGCTACTTCGCTGAGTTGGCCACTTTACTGAATTGGATGTGACTGTTTCTTTCTTGCTCCCTTGACTTGACTGAATTCCTCTCATGATGTTTATTTCCTCCTGTGCTCTCATGGTTAACTCTGTCTTGTGTGTGAAGAGCCAGAATGCTCTGACTCCATTTTGGCTAGCTTCTTTAGACAAGCCCAGACAAGCTCAGGCATATTGTACATGTAAAAGCCTTATAAGGTATGAACAAAAACTTCTGACTCTAAAAGATATTAGTCAGCACATTCCAATGCCCTGAAGACAATCCCTACCAATCAAGACTTTCCCCATACACAGGATATGGGGATATCCAATTATTTTAAAAAGATGCTTGGTGTGTGTGGGTTTCTGTGGAATGCCCCAATAAAAGCTCCTGCCTGCTATTGTTGGGGCTAGACTCTATCTTTGGCTTGTGAAGTCTGTGCCTGGCTAGCCGCCATTTGGTTCTTGTCTTTTTTTTTTACTTTAAATTATTGAGTGAACTTTTTATATAATCTTTTTGGGTATCTGTGGGAATTATTCTCGATTCTCAAACCCTAACACTTGTAGGATTTTTTTCAAGTGCCTTCTGTAATGCTAGTTTGGTGGTCATGGACTGTGTTAATTTGTGTTTATATTGAAATATTTTTTCTTTCTCCAACAGCTTTCAAAGATAACTTTGCTGAATAAAGTAAACATGGTTGGCAGCATTTATTTTCAGGGCTTGAAATTTATTATTTTTCACTTTCCTGACTTTTAAGGTTTGTGGTGGGATATCTCTTGCTCTGACAGTTGTGCTGTTTTTCCCTTGCAGCTTCTAAACTTTTTAAAAAATTTTATTATTTTTACTTTATGTGTATGCAGGTATCGCCTGCATGTTGGTAAGTGCACCCATGTCATTAAATGCCCACGGAGGTCAGAAGAGGCCATCGGATCCCCTGGGACTGGAGTTACGGACAGTTGTTAGCTGCCTCGTGGGTTCTGGGATTCAAACCCAGGCCTTCTGCAAGAACAACCAGTGTTCTTAACTACTGAGCCATCTCTCCAGCACCCCCTTGCAGCTTTTAATATTGTTTCTTTGTTCTGTGGTCTTGGTATGTTGAGTTTTAAATGCCTCTTGTGGTTGGATGCGCATGTCTTCACTATAATTTCACTGAACAGGTGTTCTATGCCTTTAGCTTTTCTCTCCATAACATTCTCTTCTTCTTTTTCCTTTGAATTTTGAACTGTGCTTTTCCTTTCTTTTTCCTCTTTCTTGCCTTCTTCCTCTACCCCACAGATTCTTAGCTTTGGTCTTTAGATTATGTCCCAGGCTTTTTGGAAGTTGTGGTTATTCTTGTTAGGTTTTCGTCGTTGTTGCTATCCAAATGTAATATTTCCTTCCTTCCCTGAGATTCCTTCTTCCTCTTGCTGCTTTCCACTGTGTTCTTCCTTTGATCATTGAGTTTTTGTTTCTAACATGTCTGCTTGTTTTTTCTTTTTTCTTGTTTTTAGATATTTCTTATTTTATGATTTTTAATTATGTGTGTGTAGATTTGTGGTCTTGTCTTTCCACCGCTTAGGCCGACTTGAACCAGCCAAGGGTCAGATGTCTGCTAGCACGCACACTTCCCTTTCTAGGCATGCCTCCTTTGTGTACTCGGAGTCTGGAGGCCACACTTGGCTTTGTAGTCTACAGGCTGTGCCGGTCTCCCATGTTCCCAAGAATCCCCTTCACTCTGGGGTCACTAATGCCATAGCCATAGAGTTTCTCCTTAGTATGGCGCAGAGTGGGGAGAGCAAACACAGCAGTGAGATCTGTACTGAAGAAACAGCCTCTGTGCCTTCAAAACCCACTCAGCAGCAAAAGTCCTCATGGAGGGACATGACATAGCTGCTAAAATCCAGGCCTTCTGCTGGAGCACCATCATTCTCAGTCCCACTGACAGTGAAGTGTGTGATAAATGGGTGGCCCGGAGCATGGGCCGCCTGCCAACCTCAGGCCGGGGACTATCAGTAATGCTCAAATACGGGTTCAACTTTCAGTCACTTCATCAGACAGACCATTCACTGCCCCAGTTGAGCCTCCTGACACCTGAACTTCTCAGCTTGTCCATGTCAGGCCACCCCATCACCACAACTGCTTCCCAGGGCTAGCTCCCTCCGTGCAGCTGCAGCAGGTTGACCCCAGGTTCTTCAAGTTGTGATTTTGTATGTTAAATTAGGGCCCTGTGCAGCAAACTCTTAAACAATAGGTGTCCTCTCAGGGCACCCGGCAGGTTTCCTCTCAGGGCACCCGGCCCCTGCCCTCTAAGACATGGGGACTAATACAATGGAGGAGGAAGTCACTGCCTCACACAACCCCAGCTACATTCAGGCCTGTGGTGATTGTGTGCTTGTCCCAGGGTAGGACTGCCAGTGACTTTTACCTGGGTCTTCTGGCTCATCTTTTGACTGAAGCTCCTGCTCCCCATCAAAGAGCCACAACCCAGCCATGTGCTGCCCTTTCTTTCCCACTGTATTCTGTCTCTCTCTGCTTTTCTGCTTTTGCATCACTCCTCTGTGATATCTAGTGCTCTTCTTCTTTCTCTGAGTCTATTTATCCTGACTGTTCTTATTCCCTGAATCAGATGGAGCAGTTTCTAACCTGTAATCCTACCCTGGAAGCTTCAGGTCCTGCCTTATCTTAGCATAATTTTTTTATTGGCTGCTTTCCAACTTTCATATTTTGACTTTCTATTATCCAGTCAATTCTGAGGGAGATGGGGTAGGAACATAAAGGTTTGTTTCTATAGCATCACCTGGTGCATTAATTTCACAAAATTTTTACTTTTTAGATTACCGTGTTATAAAGTTTTACCAAGCCATTAGGACAATCTTATCAATTGAGTAATTTTGCCTTTGTGACAGCACCATCCATTTGATATTCTTTTGCCTTTGTTCATAAATAAACAGGCTTTTGTTACTGAGCTGGAGCTTGAGGGGGGGGTTGTTGTCATTGCTTGTTATTTGAAGGTTGAGTCTCAGAATGCCTTTCTTTGTCCATACCTGCCTAACTCTGCCCCTCAATGCTTACGACACAGGTTGCGCTTATCTGTCATTGCTACTAAAACAAGGGCATTTATAAGGCTGACCCACTGGCAATGCTTTTTTCTGGTGGATTTAATTTGGTTAATGCATGGGATTACTAATTATAATCACTAATTCTGTATTAAGTATAAATACATTTTAAATTGGAATTACAGCACATATTATATTACTTTGAGAGATTTGTGACCCCAATTTCCATTTTTTGAAGGAAAAGTGTTGATTTTATATTAACTTAATAAACTTGGGCAAACTTCTTCAGGGTTGGTAATAGTCCATTTTCTGAATTTCATGACTGTAACAGCTTTATCTAAAGACAAAAAAAACCTACTTCACTGGGTCACTCTACAGGAGTAAAATCTCAACAGTGTAAAGAGAGTTTACACTGGAGGTGTTGGCATGTCAATGTGACAACCAACCACTACCAAAAATAGGACCTACCTAGGACACTCTTCTATTAAAAAAGAAAATAGCTCCAGGAAAGTCCAGGGCCATTGTGTGTTAGGAATGTGTGTATATTATAGAGTGGTTAGTTTGGAATGGTGGAACAGCACAGTACTTGCCCAAGTAAACGAAAGCCTTAGAATTCGAGAGCCGTGTGTAGGATGATTTGAATTCCCTCTCAGTCACTATATTGGATATCTCTGTGTGTGAGTAGAAACTATACAACTATATGAGACAACCCTGTGGATAGATAAAGGGATCTGAGGGCAGGTGATAAATTCTCTAAGTGAAGGAACAAGTTTTATTTAAGTTTCTATTGTCAAAATACCTAGAAATTACAGCCATCCTTCTCTATATTTTATATACTCCCAATTCCTCCTCAACCTTCATCATTTATTTCTTTTTTACAGACATCCTAGATATAGTAGAAAATGTATGTGTCTCTGTGTATTTGTGTGTCTGTGTGTATGTGTGTCTCTGTCTTTATGTGTCTGTATCTGTGTGTGTGTGTGTGTGTCTGTGTCTGTAGAATAGAATATACATCCTTAAAGTCAGCTGTACCTCCAAAACAGCTTTCACTTAAGAAGTGTACAATACATTCATTATCATGTGTGTTGAACTGAATTAATTTGACCTGTTCTTATACTTTCCAAAATAAAATGGCTAAGAATACTTTCTGGCCCTTCACAACAGGTTTGATTATCCCATCTTTGTTAGATTCTTACTCTTGGTTTAATCATACTGTTTTCTGTATTTCTTTTTACAACTTGACTTGCAAAGGGGTGGAGCTTCTGGGGCTAGGGCATTGGGAAGTTTTGGAGGCTGTGAATCATGTTATTGAAGGCAGAAGATGCTGTTATTTACAGCAGAGTGAACTGAGCATTAGTCAGAAAACATCCCTGATTATAGAACACAGATTCAAGAGACAGCCAGGATGGGCACTGCAGGAAAAGTAAGTGGAACATTTGGGTATGTTCACTCTCTTCATCTAATAACAGGGGCTGCTTGGGAAAACTTTGAACCCTGTAAAGTAACTAAATGCTTGAGGATGTTGCTTAAGGAATGAAATGTCTGTTGATCAGGCACACACCTGCAGCAAGCTGGGTAAATTGCTTCAGAAGGCCTGGAGCAGCAGGGTGCAACTGAAAACCACATGTGGAAGGTTCTTCAGGAAGGCAGTGAAGGGAAACAGGGCCACATGGATATATTAATAACTTAATTCCAGAATAGCCAGTCATTTGTTATGGAAAGCAAAATGTTTCCATAAGAGACATCAATAGGCTCAGTAGCATGTACTGAATTCACTTCCGAAGTTCTAAGGACTGCTTTGTAACTGTTGTGGAAATGGGGCTGTTGACAATGGAAAATGCTAATTCTGGAGGAATAGAAAGTATTATGTTTTAAGTAGGTTTGTTAGGATGTTTCTGAGGACATGTTTTATATCAAAGTATAATTGGAAACATTCTTGGAAAGTAAAACTACATTGTAGGTCAAGTATGCTTATTCCTTTAGAAAATAACAGAGCTGGCAGAGGTGATAGTAACTTTACAAATAGCTTTGGCATTTTTCCTCTTGCAAGAAGATCGGTATAGTTACTGCATAAAAGTTAGGTGCTTTTATTTGTGTTATTTTTAAATAGCTTTTTCATTTAGCCTACCTTAACATTTTGTGAAGATATAAACAGCATTGTAAAGACTAGCAAGACAGGAGAAACTAGGGTGTTGGAATTTTAAATATTTCCCCTAGAACTAGACAGAACTGGATATAAAACATCTTAGATTGAGTCAGAAATTCAGTAAAATCTCCTAACTTCATAATTAATTTTGCACTCTGGAAGTTAGTAACTCTTCCATAGAAATTAATGAAACTTAGAGTTAAAATTTTTACAACTCAGGGCTGGAGAGATGGCTCAGCTGTTAAGAGCACTGACTGCTCTTGCAGAGGACTCGGGTTCAGTTCCCAGCACCCACATGGCAACTATGAATAGTCCTTAACACCAGTTCCAGGAGAATCCGAAGCCCTCTTCTGATCTCTGCAGCATTGCACAACACAGGTGCACTCACATACATGCAGGCAATACACTCCTACACATAAAATAAAAATAATAAATAAAATATTAAAAATTTTTTTACATCGCTGTTCAGCCATCTCTGTGACTTCTATTATGAAGGTGTCTAGCGACTGTCAGAACATTCCCAAAGATGGGGATTCAGGAACCCCAGGCAACACCTGCCCACTGTAATTAATGATACAGTCTATAGCAAAAGGCAGGCAGCTTTACAATTCTGATTTGCAGATGTTACATAGTAGTGTAGTTCACAGAGGCTTATGTATTCCACAGAATTGTTCTGGTATTTCCATGTATCTCATGAAGAGAGGTTCCTTTGTATCTATGATCACTTTTTAATTCTTTTCTATTTCATTAAAAAGTAAAAGATGGGGCTGGAGAGATGGCTCAGTGGTTAAGAGCACTGGCTCCTCTTGCAGAGGACCTGGGTTCTATTCCCAGCACTTAGATGGAAGCTAATCACTTTCTGTATTTCCAGTTATAGAAGTCCTGGGATTACTACTGTGCCTGGCTTGTGTGTGGGCTCTGGGGGATTCAAACTCCGGTCCTCACATTTGTATGCAAGTGCTTTACCTACTGAGCCATCTCCCAAGCCCTAGTATTTTATATTTTTATTTTTTACTTTATGGGAATCCTAGGCAGATATAAGAATGAAATCTCTTATATCTCTCCTCCTCTCTCTTTATCTCTCTTTTTCTCTGTCCGCCACAATTTGACAATCTAAGTAAAAATCACTTACCTGAATAGCTGTCACAAAACCAGCTAAATGATTGGAGGCCAGTCACTGGATAATTCCTATTTGTACAAGAAGAGAAGCTTTAACTGTTTTAAGAAAAGGTAGGTGAAACATTGGCTGGGTACACGAAGGAATACGGAGATGCAAAGACACAGATTCCATCATCCAGAAGCATAGAAACACAGTCACAATCAACATGCTTCCTGAGGTGAAAGACTTCTTCAAGTCTGTGCTGGATAGCTTTAGTTGTCAACTTGACATACCTGGAAAGAGGAAACCTCAACTGAGGAATTTCCTCCATTGGACTGTGGCCATGTCTGTGAGGGAACTTTCTTAATTGTTGATTGATGTGGGAAGGCCCAGCCCACTGTGGGCAGTGCCCCCTGTTAGGGAAAGAGGAATTTACTGCTTGTTTGAATATACTGCTTGTCTGAATTTACTGCCTGAATTTATTTTTTTAAATTTACTGCTTGTAACCAATTAAACTCAACTGGAGACACAGGCATCCGGAGATAGGGTCAATCGCTACAGCCCCGCCCACCGGAGCCTGACCCGATATGTGCCATGTCACGTAGACAGGTCTGCTTACACAAGATAACAGGAAAGAGTCATGCCAGGCACAATACCATCCCTCCCCAATTGGGACACCTGAAGGGAGTTGTAGCATTTTTCTTGAAGTTACTGGTTTGTGAAATGCTTGCTTTGAAACTATTGGTTGTATAAACGCGGGCTTTTGTGTAACGGTTGTGGGAGCCTATATAATCTTTACCTGAAATTGCCTCAGGGTCAATCGCTCCAACCAGACCTGCGTGTCTTGGAAGGACGGTCGGCCCCAGCTAGCTGGTTTAATAAAACTCTGCTTGATTTTTGCATCTCCATACGTCCATACTCGGGCATTTGTTCTCCAGAAGAGACCCACCAAGTCAAGTACCCTAACATTTTGGGGGCTCATCCCGGATTCGGGGGGGCTTCTAGGGGAGCAAAGGATGAACGGAGGCAGAGTTTCTTTTCTCCAGACAGGGCAGTGGCATTTGTTCTCCAGAAGAGACCCACCAAGTCAAGGCCCCTAACATTTTGGGGGCTCATCCCGGATTCGGGGGGGCTTCTGGGGGAGCCAAAAGACGGGTGGAGGCAGAGTTTCATATGAGGAAGGCCCTCGTAACAAGTCTCAGGTTCGAGTCCTGAGCAGGGAAGTCTCAGGTTCGAGTCCTGAGCAGGGAAGTCCAGGTTCGAGTCCTGCCCCTAGGGTTGGAGAGATCCGACTCTGGGAAGGAAGCTTAACGACAGGAAGCTGGCGCCAGAAGTGGAAAAGGTCGAGCTCCTAACCCTACGGCAGTCCGAGTGGACGCCCTTCGGGAGAATTACCAGGAGCCTTGGGAATCTGGCCCTGAAAGTGAGAGTGGTGAGTGCAGGGCAGCGAGCGTCTGAGAGAAAGAAGGACCGGTCCGCATGAATGTGATTCAATGTGTGTGCATGCTTGATGGTTGTGCTAATTGTCTTACTGGGGGGGGGTCTGGTTTTGTATTTTTCTCTACGCTCTCTATTTTAAAACCTTCCTTTCCTCCTTTTCCTTCCATTTATTCACTGTATCTCCCACCCCTCTCCATCCCTCTCTCCATCCACTGAGAAAGCCCCGCGGGCACGGGTTGAGCTAGTAAGAGCCACAGGGAGCTCGCCACAGGAAGGCTCCCATGGAAGGATGAGGGGGTCCCAGGCATGAATCCCAGATAAATTCACGTCCCCCGCAGAAGAAAAACTGGGCAACGAAAGGCACACGTCCACAAGCACACCCACTGGCCATCATTGTTTAGAGTGGCATCTTCACTTCTCCCTTTTCATCTCTCTCTCTCTTCTGTGACCTCCACCATGGGCCAGACTCTGGCCACTCCTAAAAGTTTAATCCTCTCTCACATCTCAGAGGTGAAGGAATGGGCTTTGAAATTGGGCCCTAGCATCAGGAAGGGTAAGTTTGGCACTTTCTGCTTGACTGAATGGCCCACCTTTGGAGTAGGTTGGCTGACCCAGGGGTCCCTTTCCCTGGACACCATCGGCAAGGTCAAGGCTGTCATTACCCAGCCTGACCCAGAGGGCCACCTGGATCAAATCCCCTATATCCTTTTGTGGGAGAATCTGGCAGAGGATCCCCCATCCTGGTTAAGGCCCCTCTTGGTGAGAAAGCCTCATGCTTGTCCACCTAAAGTCTCCATCATGGTCACCCAGGAAGGTTTGAAGTCTTCCAGTCACAGAGGCGGGGATCATAGTGCTCCGCCAGTTCTCCCCAAGAGCTCCTCCCTCTACCCCCCTTTACCTGTTGAACAGCCACCACCTTATGCAGCTCCACGAGGAGGAGAAGCCGAGGCGGCCTATGGAGGGGGGGATGGAGCCAGGGGTCCCCATGGGAATCCAGTGGTTGCCCCTCCCCAGACTCCTCTACAGGAGAAGATGGATGACCTGGAGAGGGGGAGGGATGCAGTTAAGGTCTCAAGGAAACAGGGACTGGGTGGGGGGAAGCTCCATCCTCCACCACAGGAGGAGCCATGCCAGTTCTGCCAGTCCGAATGGTTGGCGGTCCAGATGGAGTTCAGCAGTATCAATACTGGCCATTTTCCTCTAGCGATCTCTACAATTGGAGGACCCAAAA